ATCGAACAGCGGGAGGATTCGAGTGGATCACCAAGACTATCAAGCTTTTGGCATCTTCTCTCACTATCTACTTTAGGGGTGTGAGAGCATGAATTTTGACAGATCATCCGACTGTTTCTGTCTTGCCTTTACCAACTGCAGGAATGGTTCTTCCAGGCCGACTGAGCCAACCAGAATATGTTCAGTGCCGGAAACAAGTTGCTTGTATGTCTCATTGGTAAACGCGTCAACAGGCATTCCCATCGATCGACCTTTCTCCTCGCCCATGTAATCGTGCAATTCGGCTGGTGGTGTTGTCAGTGTTGTCCTGGATATCAAAAATAGCACATTTGACGACTGACTTTGCACTAAGGGAGGCCAGATCTCTACGATCTTAGTGCTAGACCCTTGTAGTTGTTGTCTCAGAGAGTAGACAAAGGCATGAAGAGCTGCCTTGGAAGCAGAGTATGCTGGTAAAGTCACTGCCGGAATCAGAGCAAGGTGAGTGCCGGTAATGATCAAACTTGTCGGGATTGTTTTCTCTTGAAGTCTCGGAAGGAATTTGACCGACATGTCGACAACGCTCAAGAAATTGACGTTTATCTCCTCCCGAAAGGCATCAAGATCAACACTGCTAGGTTCCGACAATTTGATCTGACTTTGGATTCCTGAGTTGATGAACACACAATCCAGATCGGGAAACTCATCAACAACCCTGTTAAACTGTTAGTATAGTAAGTCGCTAATGCTTTCCGTATGGAGGCATCAAGTCCGCAAGGCCTTTCTACGCTTCGGGTCGAGTAATCCATTCCGTGGTGGGGGAGGGGGAGGGGGCGGGGGAGGGGGGCTTGTGGGCAGTGATTTTCTGCACTTGGGACTGACCTCTTCACAAAATCATCGAGACCTGCCCTATCTGTAATATCAAACCGGACAGAGGCTGCCTTGCTTGAGCCGTGCTTCTTGACAAATGCATCTAGTCGTTCCCGGCGCCGACCGACAGCCACGACTTTGACGCCGTTTCCGACAAGCTTATCCGCCATTGCTGCTCCAATACCCGATGTGGCACCCACTAGAAGTACTTGCTTATATGGGAATGACATGTTAGGCAGATAGTCGAGTTGTTTATTTGAATGGTGAAAACCGTTGAGACGTGGCAAGATGTCCACTAGGTGAAGTGTAGCTGAATCGCGATCGTTAAAAAGTCCTGATGCCTTGTAATGCCAAGCTTTATACTTTGGTGTCCAACCTCGCCGATGCCTATTGAAACATTGATGTAGATATTCCCGAATCGCGAGACAGCTTACTCCCGGCGCTAAGATCAGTGTTTGTGGCTTCGATCGCTGGATGTCGGACTGCTGGCGGCAGGCGAATTCAATCATCGGGATTACAGAAATGCATTCTGCCTAAAGCCGAGCGAACAGCCTTTTTCTGACGTTTGGTATGTCCGAGACACGCATCAACACCAATGCTGCTTGCCGTGACCCGGGCTTACAACGAGAAGAACGACGTCAAAGGAAACAGTAAATTGCTGATCATGCCGAATTTATTTAGCTTTCATCTGCTGGCAGCTGGGATATTTGAAGTTTATGTCTATTATCTTGAGAAATCTATACGTCTAGGGGGGTATATCTGCACCCGCAAATTCGGGGATGAACCATCTCGCATCATCATAGTGCAAGCACTCTTTCTATTTCTCAGCAACAATGTACTCCGTGCAAAGGAGCTCGGATCTCAGATCCATCACATCAGCGATAGTCTTGTTAGGGATGATCTCAGCCATCCACAAAACGTGGTTCAGAGTGGTGTCGTTGCCTGCATCACCGTCGTAGTCGAGGTAGGCCGCAGAAGGCGTGAGCCAGCGATTCTGCTCCATGATGAAGGTGGGAGGGATGAGCTGACCGCTCATATCAGTGAGGCGCGAAGAGAGGTTCGCGAGTTGCCAGTCCCACCAGAGGCGATCCAAGTTGGCATGGTGCAAGAAGAAGATCGGGTCACCAGGGCTGGCGTTTTGGTTCTCCATCTATCACAGGCGTCAGAAACACAGCCGAAGATTGGATTGAGAAGGTTACTTACGGTGCCGCCAGTAGCAAGGTGGCCACAAGAGTGAGGGGAATCAACGTAGCAGAAGTTGGCCTCGTTGTAAGTCTCCTTCACGTAGCACTCGTCGACGTAGGACTGGTTGGCGAAAGTAAAGGCAGTCTGGTTAAACTCGCGAGAGAGGCAGTATTCGTCATAGTAGTCGATGCCGTAGACTTGGTCCATGCGAAGGGTGGTGTTGGCGAAAGGGCCATCAATGACGCAGTTGGTGCCTTGAGTGGTGTTGACACCGTTGGTTCCGAAGCTGAACTCATCAGAGCCCCAAACAGAGGCCTTCTCGACAGTTCCAAACACCTCAAGGTCGCGCTGCTCGTCCCAGTAAGGCAGAGCACCAGTGTATCCGCACTCCTCTTGGAGAAGGATTTCGTGGAGGCGAAGGAAGAGGCGGTGCCAAGGAAGGAAGGCTCTGAATGTGGAGTTAGAAAAAAACAAGTCGAGATTGGCTTTCCAAAAAGCTTACCCAACTCCGTGAATGAAGTTCGACTGTTCGACGTGGCAACTTTGAAGTTCATCCCATCTTGTCTTCGCACCCTTGATGCCCGTCTTGGCGGGTGATTCGAATAAGCATTTGACGGCCTGAAGGTAGTCGGATTTCTCCTGGTTCTCCAGAGTGTGCCTGATTATTGATGTTAGTATCTTCCTGGCAGAAGTGATGAAAACATTCAGGTGATGACTGACCATGCCTTTCTCTGGTTCATAGAAGTGCAAGTGGAATTAGAAAAGGTTCCATTGTGGCCGTTGTGACCATGGGCGGGAAAGACAGGCGATGCACTAGCGAAGGCAACGACCGAGGCCAGGCTGAAAAGAGTGGACGACTTCATGTCGATCAGTGAGAGATAGGCAGTTCTGGAAAAGATCTGCAGGGAAAGCGACAAACAATGTGGTGAAGAGCAGACTCTTTTGTCTTTATGCTTCGTGGAAAAGGGAGACAGTTTCACTTATACTGACAGCACGACCTTGCCAAGACCTCGGGATCTCCCTAGACTCCTCCTTAGATAGGAGTCCAAGGACCCGGAGTGGAAATTTTTGAATTCAAGATTCTTCAAGCTCCGAAGAACAAATATCCACCGGCTACGCAAAAAGTTGCGATGGCCCTACGAAAGAAGCCGCGCATGCGGCTTGGGGATCCGCTGACCCCATCGTAAACTTGGCGAAGCTTGAGATAAAGATTTGCCCCCCGGCGTCTATTCGTCTCGAGTTGCCCATTCAGTGGATGCCGGACAGGGGTATCAATGATGCAGCGTTCATCCAAAGGTAAAAATCTTAGCATGGAAGTCGACCGAGGCCCGATCTGCCTATCCGTAATCTATGTCTTGTGGGCCATGATGGATACTAAAAAACCTACTGCTTCCCTGACAGCATTCCACCTGGCATCCCACATACCGAGGGTCTGGATCCGTGGATACAATGGATGGCTTATTGGGCGAATGAAAGTTTCACGCACAAGACAAGCACATGCCGACTTGCGAGTTGGGACGAACATGCACAGCCGCCGGAAAGATAAAAAGGGTCATCGGGTCCGGAATCCCACCTTCGGCTTGGGGCAGGTCCGAGACTCCATCCCAGCCGGCAACGGCGACGGCGGCCTTATCCAGCCCCCCACGTGGCGTAGCTGGCGACGAAAACAACTTGGAGCCAGTTCCAGTGATGATCAAGGAAGGAAAAAGCAACTTCGGAACAAGGGAAACGGCAGTCTGGCCCGTGTTGGCAACGCTGTGTATCGGAGACCGAGTCAGTACTTGACTCGTTGTCGATAGAAAAAAAGAAACAAGCATCAAGGCATCCAACATCGGAGATTTCTTTTCGAAACAAAGCCCCGATCCATGTACGATTCGCCCTTCGATTGAGAAAGTTCGATGGCAACTCATGACATCCTCAAAATGACCTTGGGCCAAGAACCACACGTATCAGTGGTAGCGCCATTAAGAACAATTGGCAATTGTTCTGAAAAGTCACAACGCGTAGTTATCGGAAAGTACTATACATGTGTTCATAGATTTCACATGCAGTATGTTATCTTGGTATTCGAGCCGCAAGTGATATGGTCTTCATTGGGCTTTTATTACATTTTTCTCATTGCTAAGGACTGTGGTAGGGCCAGGTCATCATCACAGTCGTGACTCAAACCGGGAACATAGTGGAGAGTGTCGTCATATAACAGTGAAAATGCAACCAGCCCAACAGCGGCTGCAACCGAATGAAACTGTTTCAACAATGCCACGTTCTCGACGTTTACCGACGAAATGGAAACTGTTCTTAGAACAACAATCCAGTGGGGGCAAACGCCGCCGACCGAAAGTTAATGAACCTTATCCAAATCTAGGGGCGGACCGTGCTGTTGCACCCCAACTTAGCTGGCAAAGTCTTCCAAAATTGGCAAAAATAGGAAAGTGAAAGGCATCGCTTGCTTCATCGTTCGACACTTTGATTGGTATATGTTTCTTGTTTACTGTACGGTTCAAACTCAAAAGGATGGATCGCGTGTCTATATCGACTTCGTAACGTTTGGGTCTGAGGAGGACCGACACTCGTCTAGTGGCTTCTCATTAAGTTGGCTCAGTTTATGATTTTACGACCTTAATATGCTAGCACATCCGACTGGTCTAGTCATATCACAGAGATTCGAATTTGAAAAGTCAGTACAAGTCTATATAGATCTATCCATGTGCCGTGAATGTACACCCCACCCTTATGCCCGATTTTGGTGAGGCAATGCCTAAACCCTTGACATGAAAGACAGTATGTAGTTGTCTCAAGGCCTTTCTTCGTCAAACAGATTTCTAACCAGTCTGAGACAAGTGGGATGGTAAAAGTCTTGATACTTCTTGAACAGTTCTAACGCCAACTCTTCGTCAACCGACAATAATTCTTTGAACCTGTGAACTGTCAGCCATGATCTTGACTTGTGCTCTGGTCGAGGCGACTTACAGCGGCCTCACAAACTTCATTCTGCCTGTCTGTCCCAGGATATCCTCAGTCTGCTTCAAAACACTGCGATCGCCGGCTCTGAGCGCGACACGAAGGTACCGAGTGACGACTTCAAGATTGCTAGACTTTCCCACGTCATACAACTCGTCAAGAAGCTTACAATACTCGAGTGGGATTGGCTGCGGACTTTCAATGAGTAGATCAAGAAAGACTAAAACTTGTCCCGCTGTCCAACCCTCGACATCGCTACCAGACGGCCTGAACGCAGATTGGACCGAGAGACTGCCCCATTGATCTGCCAATTCGATGGCCTTCTTGTAAAGCTCAGAGCAAAACCCTGGCTTTGGGGGGGCGCCTGGTTTGTGAAACCAAGAATTCCAGTCAACGCAGCCAAGTGAGGAGGTAGCAGCGGCGTCGGGTGAGAAGAACTTGAGAACACAATCCTTGAATCGGGATGAGTCAACCGCGGCACCATAAAACGTTCTGAAATACTTAAGTGATGAAGTGTTAGTCTTCAAATTGTAGACAGCAAAATGGTAAACTTACATATGGCACAAACTTGAGCCACTTCTCTCGTCCGACGGTCTCTTCAAGGTAGCATAGGAAGGTGTAGCCTTTCTCGTACGAGATCTTGGACATAATATCGTCCGGCCTCTTGCCTTCAAACTCAAGTACCAAGCTAGTGAAGACGCTGTCTTCGCCGCCATACATTTCAATAGATTGAATAAGGTCCTGCCAGCCAACGATGGCTTGGAGCTCGACCTCGTCGTCCCCTCTGAGTTCGCGCACAATGTTCCTCTCCGTCCAGACAGTCCAGCCTTCATTCAGCCAGAAGTGCTCCCAGGACGCATTAGTGACAAGATTACCACTGTAGCTGTGCGCGAACTCGTGCGCGACCACAGAGATATTCTCTCGGTCTCCCGAGACGACAGTGGCGCTGTAAAAGTTGAAGATTGGGTTTTCCATACCGCCTAGATGGAACGATCTTGGCAACACGACCAGATTGTAAAGTGGCCACGGATACTCGAAGATGATATTCTGATACGTCGCAATTATGTCAGCTCAAGGCTTTTCCTGCTCAGGCTCAGCTACTTACCTCTGCAGATTTGATTATTGCCTGTAAGTCCGGCTGAAATTCCTGTTTGCAGGCTTCCAAGTCACCAGGGGCGCAGTAAACATAGCTTTTCGGTCCAATCTTCTCTCCCGCCAAATTCCTTCCAAGAGCTGTGTAAGTAATTGAATATGTGAGGACGTTCTTCGAAAGGCTTACCCGCTTGCTACGGCGAAGAGGTAGTTTGAGATTGGAATCTCCATCTTGAATCTGTAGGTCTTCTGTTCGGTCGTGTCCGTGATTGGTGGGAAGATCAACTCAGACTCAGTAACACCACTCGCTATGACAGGAAGTATTGAATGTATTGTTATATCGAAAGTGCTTTTGATGGAGGGTGTGTCCTGGCACGGGAAAATGGAGCGAGCATGAACCGGTTCGCACTGGGAGACTATCGACCATCAGCTGAGACCGACAAGTCGCAATGCAGCCCAACACTCACACATGAAGGGGTATTCTTTATCATCTGTCTGCGAGGGGCTGAACCACTGAAGGCCCGTGGTGTTCTCGGTAGTTTCGAAGTCGACCTTGCCAGCGACTATATTAGCCAACTCCATCATTGATGATACAGCAGGATTGACAATTCAACGTACTGTGAGCTCAATCGTTTCCCCTTCACCATAGCGTCGTCCAAGTTCAATGCATAATGGACTGCCATTCTCTCCATCGTCGGACTTCAATGTCCACGCAGCCTTTCTTCCTTGATAGCTTACTCCCTTGATAACGACACGGCTTGTGTCTAGAACAATTTCGGCGAGACCATGAACTCGTGCTTGGCCAGTAATTGAAGTTTGACCAATCAAGATCTTACGGTCAAAGTCAATCGTCAAGTCAAGGGCCGTATGCTGGGTCGAAAAGTCTTGAAAATTGGAGCTAGTGTTGACATCTGTGACAACGTTGGTTAGACACATGGTGCAACTGCGAGCGAACGTCGTCCGCGCGTGAGAAGAGAAGCTTGGCTGCTGTTTGTCAGAAAGAGAGACTGGCAATCAGGCCTATTATCATTCCTGCAAGTGAATGATTTCTTGAATTTGAATGATTCTAAGTAAGGTATTCGTAGACGTAGTTCGGGTGCTTAACTCAATCGTGCCCCGCATTCTTCTCTGCCCCTCACCCGTCGTTCAATATTGCCTATTACGGCAATCCGGTGCACCCCGCGCTAGCTGCTCGCCTACTTGCAAAGATACGATGGCAGATATTGGCTCGTTCAAGTTTACCGCTTGAGGCCGTTGTTCAAGGGAGCCTAGACGCAGAATGCAGCTCATCGTTATCTCTAGCAGTCAATTACAAATTTTGTTTGCTTTGACGCCAGAAGTTTGTGACCTCTTTGAGATAAGCTCCGTAGAGCTTGATGGCGTTGATGCTGTTGAAGAGCGAGTTAGCCCCTGTGGAACTCCAGACCTTGATGCTGCATGTCGACTTACTAGTTGCTCTTATCCAGCTTCTCGTTAGTGGAATGTTGTCCATCGGTAGGCCGACCAACAGGCATAAGGAGCACATTTTTTTTCAAGGTCTTCTTGAAGTCCAAGGCGATGGGTATGCTGGGTAAAGTTAGTGCTAGTCTATCGCGCTGAGGTTCGATATAAAGGCTAACCTTCCACCTTCACAGGTCAAAGCAGGGTCAACGCCCCACACGTTTCGTGTTGCCTGAATCGCGGCTTGGTAATTCCAGTGGCTCGCCTCCTCGTAGAACCAATCATTCGGATGACACTCAATTTCGAGTTCGTTCTTACTTCCTAGACTCTCGAAACGGTCCTTGACGTGTTTTCGCACCAGCTGGTCAATGTCCTCCCACTTCATGAAGGGCACAGTACGGATACTGAACTTTCCGACAAGCTTAGCAGGTATAGATGTGACAGCTCCGGCTCCAGGCAGGGCATTCTCTATCCTGTGCAAACTGAGAGATGGCTTCTTCCAGCTACGGGGCGGAGAATGAGGTTAGCTTACTGATCTGAGGTAGAGTGCGAGTGAACGTACCGAGCGACCAGAGCGTCAGCCTGATTGTCGTGGAGGCTTCTACCCCCTGTGCCACCGTACAAAGAGTCTTCCGAAATGTTCAGCTTTTGGTAGCTCTCGTACTCTTCTTTCGTGACAGCTTGGACATTGTCGTAGATCCCAGGGACCAGAATCTTGCCATTCGCATCCACCAAAGAAGACATAATGTTGACCATGTCTGTCATTGGCTCCGAAATCTGACCACCGAACCCACCACTATGGGCATCCACTTTAGCACCTGTGATGGTGACAAGGTAGAAGATGATGCCTCTGAGTCCTTGAGGGACGCTAATCTGCTCGTCGCTCACCCAAACAACATCCGTGATGCAGACCACGTCGACATCCTTGAAGTACTTGTCTGCCTCATCCTCCAGGCCCTGCCGAAGGCCAAACGATGCGGTCTCTTCCATGCCTTCAAAGCAGAAGACCAAGTTAGCCGGTACGTCTACATCTACCTTTTGGAAAGCTTCTATCATGTTGATCCAGCCAATGAGAGGGCCCTTATCGTCCGAGGTTCCTCTGCCGCAGATCTTGCCGTCTTCTTCAACCGTCATCACGAAGGGCTCGTGCTTCCATCCGTCCTCGATAGATGCAGGCTGAACGTCGTAATGGCTGTATACGAGCACCGTTGGCTTTTCGGGGTCGCTGCCATAGCGTCCCAATACCAGAGGAGGAAGGTCGAGGTCTGTACCCTCCTGCTTGCCCAGATCTTTGAGTGTTACCTCAACACCAACAGCCTTCAGCTTGGTTGCAACCCATTCACTCATCTGCTTCTCTATTAGATATTGTTATCTCTATGCCTTGATGGCATATGGGTTATTCGTCTAACCCACCGCGAACACATCCTTCCTATTATCTGCATAAGCAGAGATTGAGGGAATCTTGATGGCGTCTCCAAGTCCTACACGAAGTCATAGTTAACTAAATATGGTCCTTTCAGCCAAAGCCAAGAGTAACTGTTTGGACGTACTATCGATGAAGACACTCTCAAGCTCATCAACCCTGTCTTCCAGATTAGCGAGGCAAAAGTGCAAGGGTGTCTCTCATTTTTCACGGACTTTGCATAGAAGCTAGCTAGTGCTTCATTGGTATCGTTCACCGGGCGTGCTGGAGTAGGAACCATCGTGGCGATAGAAGCGACGTCCTTAGTCAGCAAAGAGCTGGCTTTTCGACTACAATCAAGCTTCTTTTAGCACTATCACCAGCTGCAATAATTGACTCTGGGCGCTAAATTTTGGTGTTGAAAGAGGGGAAGTTGGGCTTTCCGAGTCGAGTCTAGTCGCACCGAGACCCACGTCAAGCGAGATCGGATTACGAGTGATGCAGCGTGGGGGCCGATACAAAAGTCCACTTCGAGATATTACCGAAAAAGGAAATTGGGAACGAGAGAGCTGACTTACACGAGATTAGACATTAGCATGAGAAAGGAGACGACAAGGTACTGCAGAATGCGACGAGATCTTGCAGTCTGGTACAATAAGTCCCATGCAAAGAATCGTATTTCCACCAGTTGGAATTTCCTTTCTTCCTTGATGTTACCGTTCATTTAGGCACACTCAACTTTACCAAACATGCAGCAAAAACGCAAGATCCTCGTAATCGGCTCACCTCGCGACGTCATACCTGACAAAGTATGGGCGGAATTCAGCTCACGGTATGAAACTCTAATGTACGACTATCCAAAAGTACAAGACTTCTACCAGTCCATGACTTCCGGCACCTGCAAGAGCATTGACGGAATCATGCGAATCGGCATTAACACTCCGCCCGACAACGAGAAATTGGGCATGGGCTGGACTAGACGGGCTCTGCCATATCTTCCATCAACTCTCAAGATGATTGTCAACTTCGGACATGGTTTCGACGAAGAAGATGTTTCGGGACTCAATGCCCGTGGCATAGACTTTTTCAACACCACAGGCGGAAGCGAGGCGACGGCCGTGGTCGCGGTCTATCTCATCATCTCAGTATTCCGTCAGCTAAATCGCTACGAGCGAATGCTCCGCGACGAGCAGTTCTGGCCAGCCTTGAGGCACTCGTCTCAGAACGCAGTCGATCCCTTTGGAAAGAAAATTGGCATTATTGGCATGGGTTCCATCGGCCAGACCGTCGCGAGACAGGCAGCTGCTCTCGGGATGGAGGTTCACTGTATTGATAGGCCCAATCTTCGGAGAACTTTGGAAGTAATGAAACATGAGAACGATCACGTCAAGGGGCTTTTGCCACCGATACTGTTTCACAAGGATCTTAAGGGCCTCGTCGCTTCCGTGGACTGCTTGGTTCTGGCATGCTCTTACTCTCCAACGACACATCATCTTCTGTCGAAGAATGTCTTCTCCGGGATGAAGAAAGGAATTCGAATCGTCAATGTGGCCAGGGGTCGTTGTATAGATGAGGAAGCGCTGTGTGATGCCATCGACAGCGGCACTGTCGCAGCGGCTGGGCTGGATGTTCACTACAACGAGTGAGTTTCTGATGTCATAGTCTCTTCATACTGCCTGTGCAAAGTTAACACTTGTAGACCAAACGTAAACACAAGATTACTGAATCACGACTGCGTGACACTTTTACCTCATCTCGGAGGACTCACCCACGATTCAATGAAGGTAGACGCTTGAGTTGCGCCCGTTGCAGTAAGACTCTTCTTGCTAACGACCAGACAGAACCATGCGTTGATGGCCTTGAAGTCAGTAGATGACTTCTTTGCCTGTTCGAATTTGACGTAAGGCGTTTCAAGTCAGAATGGGGTTGAATAAATCTGTGTGAATAATGTAGTAGAAGATATCAATGAGAAATTATTGCAGACGTATAATTAGCATGGCATCGGGAACTGGGTAGAAATAAAGTTGTTTCACACTTGATTTTCATATGTAGTCCATACCGCCAAACACCATATGCCATTACAAGTGTTCTGCTCGCAATTCTCTTGCTCTTTTGTTGCATCAATCATAAGCTCCCACTGCTGCCTCGACAAGCGGTTAAGCTCGATCATAGGCTTGATTGTCCAGATATCTCCTTTGGGAGTAAGTGGCTGCGCCGTTGCGGACTGTTAGAAAATATTAATCGAGTAAGTGAGGTAACAAGCAGACATATGATACGCTTTACTCTGACAACGGTGATAAATCGGCCTCCTGTCAACTCTGAGTTCTATGTTCTCTGAGATCTAAGGTACGTGAACAAGAAAATGCAACCCATTCTCCAACTATAGTCACACCTTCGTCTTCGTTTCATCTATCATTCGCTTGTTTCAGTGAGGCAGGAAATCCGTTCCTGAATTGCCTTTCACTGCTCAGCAACGACGTATCCCCATTCGTGTTCTACTCGACCGTAGATGATATCCTCCAACCAAGATTTTATGGTGTTGGAGTACGCGGAGCGCGGTGTCTTGTGCCCCTCATCAGTAACCATCATGGGGAATTGAATCTCAGTGTCGCCATGCTTGATCACGGAGACCGGGGTGATAAACATCTGTATATGACCCGTTAGCTAAGAGAAATTGATAAGCCAGAAAGACACCTGTTAAACTTACCGCAGTGCCAGAAACAAAGGCCTCCACTAGCCGACCTTCCTCATATGCTTCCACAACCTCACCCATAGTAAAAGGCCGCTCGACAACATCCAGCGGGGCAAGCTCAGTCTCAGCCGTCAATTCCCGCGTCAGCCTCTCCCTCGCAACCTCCAAAACACTCCGTCGAGTGATGCCATCCAGGATTACCTCCGTGTCCAAAGAACTAGTTACAAGCTCAATCCCTTCACCCCCCTTCTTCCTCCACACAACAAAGAAATTACTCGCCCCAGCCTCCGTAACGATCCTCTCCTCCCCAAACAACCACAACGTCTGCGTACACCCCTGCGACTTAGCCGCCGCATGCGAAACCATAGCAGGCCCGTAATTCGCGCCCACCTTCGCGGACCCGAACCCGCCAGGCCAGGCGCGGATATGCTCGGGGCTGCTAGCGAGCAACTTGATGCCCGGGTGCGGCGCATTTGTCGATCCTCCTCCCAGAGACTGCGGGAAGAGCGCGGCAAAGAGGAAGAATAAGGCTTCGGGCGGCTGGTTGATACCGAGCGCGGAGCCGCTTCCGACCATGGCGGGGCGGACGTAGAGGTTTGTGCCGGGGTCTGGGAGCCAGCGGGGGCATTCTGTGCCGAGGTAGGTGGTGATGATAGCGAGGAGGGCGGAGGGGTTGAAGGAGGGGAGGCCTACGCGGGCGTTGGACTTCAGAAGGCGGGCGCAGTTGAGGTCTGGGCGAAAGAGACGGAGTTTATTGTCGTGGCCTCGGTAGGCTTTCATTCCTTCCTGGTAAGGGTGTCAGTTCTTGGGTCCATGAATCGGGAAGAAGAAATTCGTGTTTCAAAGCTTCTCTTGTGTAGTATTTGGACTTACGAAGGACTCCGTGGCGTAGTGTAGGACGCTTGCTGTTGGCTCGAGGGCGATCTTGCCGTAGGGACTCATTACGGGTGTTCCCCAGCCACTTTGCATAGACCATGGGACTTGTACCATGTGTGCCGTTGTGCAGTTCTGGCCTAATCTCACTGGATCGTGGGCATCTGGGACGGGCAGTTGGTCTGCCTCGGGGACAAGAGTCTTGAGCATCTTGGTGACGTCCAATTCTGCGTAAGGGTGTCCATCGTCGGGCAGGCCGCTCGCTTTTGACAATGTCGCTGAAGATGTGCTGATAGCGCTGGGACTCATCTTGATGTCCTGACTCAATGGTAGGAACGGAGATGAATCTGGATATTCTGGTGGTGGACGAAGCTCAAGAGTTCCAATTACGAGTAGGATGTCCTAATTTGTTGTTCACCGTGCACATCGAGAGCGCGCGTCCATATTTTATAACCACAAACTGCCGGATAAGCGCCTTTTTGTCTTGACATCATCCTCCAGCTCGAGCTTAAGCTCAGTTGCTGTGATGGCAGAGCAGGATGAGCTGCAAGTGATGAATCTGAACCATTTGTTGGAATTACCCAATACGGCAAATGAGAACGAGCACGCTAAACCGTCCCCACACCGACCGGCTAACGATCGGAGGCCCGCCGGCCGGCGCCCGTCATCCCGCAGAAAATTTCAGCCAAAAGTCCTCGGCGATGGGACCTGCATGTCATCGGATACCGAGCCCACATTCCGAGATCTTCTCATTTTCACAAAAATCCATTGTCATCATCGTCATTGGTGCGCTGGGAGTCCACAAGCATGGGCGTTCCGGATTTCCTATTACGGTATTTCTACAAAATCAATGCTCCAACCCCGTTTACACCGCGAATAAATCTCGACCGAAAACTTGTCAGGGTCCGTCTCCTCGTCCTCGCTTGGCGTGGCATCTGTCTCCAGGTCTATCAGTCGAACTTTGATGATCTCCCAGTTGTAGCGCGAGCCGCGACGCGTGTATTCTTGGTCAACGTAATTCAGCACGCGGTGCGCGTGTCGCACGTTCCAGATGCCCTCCCTCTCCCGCGGGAATCCGGCGATCCAATTCTTGACCCAGTCCTTGACCTCCTGCTCCTCCGACATGTGATAGCAGTTCATCATCGCCGCGACCATGCCGTGGGAGTATGCGTTGACCGCCGCGCAGGAGGCGTAGGGTACGCCTGCTGCCAGGCGGCAGACGAGGAGGACGATTTTCTTTGCTTTGGGGGGTAGTTGGCGCACTGCGCCGGGCAGGTATCTCGTTTCCAAGCGGAGGAGAGACACGAGGTAGTGCATGAAGGTTGTTGCAGCCTTGACGGGCTCTGGGGCGTCCGGGATGCTGAGGGGCCTGATGGAGATGCCAGGTCCTTCTGCATCTTCATTGTAAGGGTTTGCGGTGTGCTCGTGTAAGGGTGGCACGTCACAGTCAGGCACGGTCTTTCGCCAGGCTTTTAACTCCTCGATAAGGCTTTCTGCTTGCTCTCGCCAGTGAAGGTCGTGTTGGGGGTTGCTCCTCCACTCTTCTTCCAGCTTGATGACCCGCGGTAGGATGAAGAGCAGCCGGTCTGCCGAATGAGGCGAGTTTACTAGAGATCTGCTTAAAGAGTCTGAAACGTCTGGAGACGCTATGCTGTAGCGTACAGAGTATGCCCTGTCAAAGATGTCCAGAAGCGCGGCGATCCTCGAGAACGATCGGATGAGCGACTCTCCCACCGGCAAATCCTGCACGCGGTTGAGGTGTTGGGACAGGAATGTGACCGCAGCCCGGCTATGGATGTACCACAATTTCATCTGGCCTCTCTGTAGTTCAAAGTTGGCCAGCAGTAGAAGAGTCGCCAGCCATGAGATGGCGTTGTCTTGGTTCGGCGGACAGCCCGTAGCGACCCCTTCATCGTCGAGCTGTGCCATGCGCACCGTACCGAGGGCAGTGACAAAGTGATCGAGGGCTTGCAGTGCCGCCTTACTACCGAGCGCCTCCGTCGGCCTTGCCTGAGAGATATCCAGCGCCGCCAAGGCCAATGCAGCGTGGAAGAAGGCCTTGTCAAGGTGCTCAGCCTGTAGGATATCATTCAGTGACAAGATTGAGAGGGTGCCGTACGGAGAGGTATCCGTGAAATGGTGATAAAACACCATGTCCTCGGCAAACTTTGCGCTCTCCAACAAGCCGACTGGAATTGTTGGCACTGAAGTCAATTGCCGATTCGCCTGTTCTGACTGTCTTTGTCGCAGCAAAGGCGAGTCGATACGTGGGTAGACTGGCGTGGAACTCGGCGTGGCTACGCCTTGATAAGTGTTAAGCACATCATCCGTATTGTCTTCTCCTAGTCCTCCAAGATTGGAATCAGCTTGCAGAGTCGTGTCGTCAAATGGCGTGTAGAACGATGGCGATTCTGTTTGATGCCCACCAGTAGGAACCAGTGAGTCCTGGTGAATGCCTCCAGATATCAGGGCGAGTGACGCGGCCGCCTCATAGCGGGATAATTCTTGTGATTCGTCAAAGGTTTGATGGCTTTCGTCAGCCGAATGGAAAGTTTCATCTCCCGGTGTCACAACACGCTGGCTAACTTGATGCGACTGCAATGTCGGTTCTACACTGTCTTGGGCATTCGACGAAGGCGATGGCTCAGTCGGAGCTGGTCTTTGTGCCTTTTCTTTGCGTTTTCTGCCATGTTTCCGCTTCAGCAGATCTGTCTGATCTCTGAACTTGATCGGTGTCGCATAACCGCCGCACTCGAGATTGAGTCTTGTACACTAGATGGAGCCACAGTCAGAGCCAAGCTTAAAAAGACTGGCGAGATGTGGACTTGCGTTGTTACAATGGGGCTTCTTTTCATCGCATTTCAGTCTGCGGGAGCGACAGGTCACGCAGCCTGTGCGGTCTCGAGTCGTAACATTGCGCTTCCGAATGCCGTGATCGACCATAGACACAGGGCATATGAATCAAGTGCGGGCTATCAGACAACGGCTCCTTATCTGATATGATGCTTACTATGTCGCCGACAATGAGGCGTGAGAACAAAAGATGTGGATTGGGAGAAGTTGGTTAGGGTGATGTATCGTTTAAGATTTCCCTTTTAGGGTGCTTGGGACCCCGCAGCGATGTCGAGTCAGGAGACTTTCCGCTAATTTGGACGTCCTCGTCACCCTGCACACCTCCATACAGGACCGTCATCGGGGTTGACAGGCTGGGTGGTCGCTGGTGTACGTAGATTCAAAGGAGAGCTGCCATAGAGTCCGTCGAGAACTAATGAAGAGGATGAAACGAAATGGCTAGGGATTGTCAAGTGATCCGGATGATTGGCCAATTTGTTTTCAACGATTGCTCGAATCGAGGTCTGAAGCAACATCAGAACTGGGACCCCGCACACTTGCCCAGTTTAACCAACCCGGTCGTAGGACTTGGTCACCCCAGGCCCTTCTCTTGACGAAACTGAAGGCATGCGTTTCTGATTCTCGCTGTTCGCCATTTCTCGATTTCCATCGACTGCACTGATGGAGTGCTCCTGATGACTTGGGTGATTCCTCTGTCTATCTGAGACTCAAGAGAATCCAAGAAAAGGGTAGCGCTGGCAGTCGGTGCTCGAAACCATGGTTATATCATCGGACAAGGAGACTTCATGGGAGAGAAGAAAGAGAAAATAGAGAGTGGCCAGCTAGCCGATATAAGGTAGAGACAGAGAGACCCGTTATTATCGGATACTCAGACATCGCTGGATGCCCACCCGCCGATATAATCGTAGGCCCGAATAAGCATGATGACAGATGAACGCGATTTCATTCGATAAAAACAGACGGACAGGGGCAAGGCAAAGCTTCTGCTCGTGAACCCCGAGATCGACGCAGTCCCCAGTGTCAGCGTCGGAGTCTCGCCTGAAATCGCGGCGCGGGAGGAGCCGCACGTCGGGACGAACGGCATCGCGTAGCTTATCGTGGGCAGAAAAGGTGGGCAAGGAGTTCGGGACCCAGAGAGTGTTAGTGAGCGCAAATGTCGTCAAGGGCAGGGTTAGAAAAAATAAAAACAAAAAAACTCTTCCAAGTTGAAAATTGCACCGTCCCAAGTGCCGAAAACGAGCGATGGAATTGGCGCGACCTGAGTCTTGTTGGTTCTGGTTCCCGAGAGGTCCGGTGGGCATTCCGTCACTGCCTTCAGTTTTGGGTGCGTGGCTGCCGCGTTTGGAGAGATAAGGGGACATCGACGTCATTGCGCGCTCACTGATTGATGAGTCAGCTCCACACCTCGGCTCCACAGCACCCCTGCCAAGGCAATTGGGAGCTGGCAGGAGCTTTGGGCGCAATGACGACGGACAAGAGAGAGCAAGAGCACCTTCCCGCCGTTTATTATTCCACGGCCAGCCACATTCCTGGCTGTTATCTTGCACTCCCTCAGTCGTAGCACAATTTCTCAGGTCTTGGGTTCTTTAGGAATATCGTCAGAAAATCTCCACTCCAAAAATGGCATCAAAAACAACACAATCGGAACTCCCGACCTTCACACCAGTCGACTATGGAAAGTTCTTTGGCGCAGGCGCCCTCGCGGCGACCCTCACCCACGGTGTAAGCCAACCACCTCATTCTCTAGAGAACCTCACAAGCACTCGACTAAAAATGCTCACTCTCACTACAGGCCGCGACACCAATCGACGTCGTCAAGACGCGAATCCAAGTCGACGATGCAATGAAGGGCCTCAACATGATCAGCGCGGGCCGCACAATCGTCGCAAAAGAAGGCGCATCCGCCCTCCTCACCGGCTTCGGCCCCACCGCCGTCGGCTACCTCGTCCAGGGCGGTGGTAAATTCGCCGGCTACGAATTCTTCAAGAAGCAGTTCATCACCCTCGCCGGCGGCCCCGACAAGGCTGTGGAAAAGCGCACCGCAATCTACCTCGGCGCCTCCGCCACCGCCGAATTCTTTGCCGATATCCTGCTTTGCCCCCTCGAGGCGACGCGCATTCGTCTCGTTTCCCAGCGCGGGTTCGCGACTGGTCTGGGGTCCGGGTTCATGCGCCTTGCGCGCGAGGAAGGGTTCAAGGGGTTCTATTCTGGCTTTGTGCCGCTGCTGTTTAAGCAGGTGCCTTATGCTGTCGGCCAGTTCTCTGTGCATGAGGCTGCTGTCGAGGTGATTTACCGGACCATGGGACCCGAGAGGAAGGCCAAGATGACGCAGCTGCAGTCTACTGGAGTGGAGCTTGCGTCTGGTGTCGTCGCTGGTGTCGCGGCCGCTGTGCTCTCTCACCCCGCCGACACGTTGCTCTCCGCTATCAACAAGGGTGCAGGTGACAAGAACCAGGGCGCCACGAGCCGTATGTTCCAGCTTGCCAAGGAGTTTGGCCCCAAGAGGTTGCTTCTTACTGGTTTGGGCCCCCGTATCGTCATGACGTGCGGTCTGGTTGCTGGCCAATTCGTCATTTACGCGCAGTGCAAGACGTTGGTTGGCGCACCTGCGGGCATCGAGATTCACAAGGAGGAGTCTTTGTAAATAGAAAAGATCTAGAAAGATCTAGAGCGTCAAGAGGATAGACAGGCTTTGGGTACTGGCTGGCGTTTGGGTGCATTAGTTCTGGCCGGTTACAGCGGGTAGATGAGCGACTGCTTAACTATTTACACTTCATTAATCACATTTCACCTGTTGAAGCTGCTTTGTTGCATCTCGTGCCTGTTTCTGCTATGATAACCGGCCGGTGAACATCTGCTAGACATTCACGTTGGAAGTGCAGAACTTCCCTTGGCAAATATGTCGAGGATTCGCTGCATACCGCCGATCATGGGTTGCAGGTCTCGCGTGTTTCGCAAGCTAAAGTCGCGATCGTATCCACGGGATGCGCGGATAGCACGGCGTGCGTTTATATCACTCTCTCTGCAGTATCAGGGATGATGACTCGGGGGAAGGCGACTGAGGATTACTTGCATCCGCACTGGGTGCCGTCAGTTCGATTTCACCTCATTTTCATTAGCTATAACAGATATAAGGTCTGAGACTATCGCGATCTCCAAGATTGGCACTAGAATAAAGAATACACCACACTTTTTCAATCGACACGAGCTATTGAACGCCGTCTTAAGCGAAGACCTTCGTAGGGAAAGAATCACTAAATACAAAATGAGCGTCTTACGAACAAGCTTCAATAAAGTCAACATCGCCCTTCGATCTCACCGCGTGCAACTGAATGGTCCCGATAATCCGGGAAACTTTCCATTTGTTACTTTAGTTTTAACCGAGAATAGATTGCACGAGTCCATGGTACCTGGACTTTGAACAAGGTTTGATGTCTAGGCAATATTCTACTTATCTGGTCGACTACAGTTCACCACCAGAACGTTGGATCTATGTCAGCCATTCAACGCTCATGTAAGGTAGGCTGAAGGCCATGGCTTACCTTGACGGCTGCTATGAATCGAAATAGAACACTCGTGCCATATCTACCTTACTGGTCCACGAGCCGGGCAATAAGACCGGACCAACGGCCTCGACTTGCAACGTCCTCCTCCTTACTTCTCTTTCCTTCCTCACTTCAAACGCTTCATGCATGGAAACAACACCACTGCTAAGGTAGACAACAGTGAGGCTAAAACGACAAGATGTTGGCCAAATTCCTCTCCCTGCTGGCCATCAGCACCCTAGCATCCGCCGCCTCCTACCAACTCCGGACCTTCGCCCCCTCCGAACCAAAAGTCCACGACCAGCTAGTCAACGTCGAAGAAGAACGCTTCTGGATCGGCCTCGAAAGACCAACGACCTGGTGCCCAGACTTCAGCGGAGGCTCCTGCCCACCAGGCAACACCACCGTCGTAGACGGCTCCTTTGGCAGGATGAAGGTTCGTTTTCCCACACACTCCCTCTTCAGAAGTCACCTCCCGTTTTTCCCTACTCTACTATTCTCCTCAATTACCTTACACTCGACTTAACACCCCTCCCTCACAGTCCATGATGTCTCCAGGCCAACTCGTCTACCTCGACCCCTTCGGCGTAATAAGCTACACCGCAGGCGACGCCCTCACCTGGAACACCATGCCTCAAGGCTCCAACTTCAACTGCTTTGAGGCTGTCGAGATCTGGGACCCGGCGGACGCGACCAAGAAGCTCCGCCTCGTCAAATTCATCAACCTCGGCGACCCGGCCGCGTCGGCAAGGCCGTTCTTTTACTCGTGTCCGATCGAGGGCAAGAAGCATTCCTTTGTGAGGGTGCGGTGGACGTCGCAGCATGGGCATCGGGAGTGGGGTGTTGATTGGGACAGTCAGTGTACGGCTATGGAGGGGTTGATTCTTGTGGAGAGTAAGGTTGAGATTGGGGCGTATCAGTATGTTTGATACGGGAGGGGATAGGTCTGGTGGAAAGGGTACAGGGAATACGGTAACATGACGTTGATCATCCCAGAAATTGGAATATCTCAGCAAAGTGAAGGAACATATTTTACAATTTCATGTCAGTCTCAACTTTAAGCTACATGTACATTGATCCCACGACTAATCCAGAACAAGCTCAAACTCAAAATCCTTGCTCTTGAGCTCATACTGCGGCAGCGTCGCCGGCCCACAGGACCCCGTCCCGAGACCGTGATGCGCCCAGTCCAGCCTGACGACCGTGTCCTCCCGCTTGCGCTTGTGCAGCTCGTACGGGTGCTTGCACTCGTCCAGGTCCTTGGTGGTGTAGTGCATGGCCGAGAACGAGGCACCTTCCAGATCGCCGTAGCGGGCGCGAATGAGACGCTCAGCGGGCTTGCTCTTGTCGACCACGCCCTCTTCATCGGGCAGCTGTCCGCGGAACTCGACCCACCGGACATCGGTCCTGTTGCCGCCGTCCTGCGGGAACTCGTAGTCCACAAACAGGTCGTCGACCGTCTCCTCCCAGTTCCCAAAGGCCTGCGCCATCTTCTTGTCCGAGTAGCTCTCGCCGGGCCCACGGCCCCACCACGCGACCTTCTCCACGTTCTTGAGGCCGAAAGTGAAGCCGATGCGGGCGAAGGTATCCGGCACCAGCGGACCGCTGGGCTTGCCCTTTATCTTGATGTAGATGGCCTCGCCGTGGAAGGTGTAGGTGGTGTAGATGTCGACGCCCCACGCGAGGACGGGCGGCGCGATGCGGGAGTGGACGTTGACGATAAGACCGTGCTTCTCCTTGCGCCATTCTACGCGCTTGATGTTGTGGCTCGTCTGATGCAGTCGGCGATCCTCCC